AGGAGCGGGTGGGGGGGGGGGGGGGGAGGAGGAGGAGTGTGAAGTTGGGAAGGTGATGACCTCATTCCCCACAAAATGGATCCACCCCAGCTGTCAGTCTCCATCCCACCCAAAAGCACACTCGCATGATGCTTCAGGAGGTGCCAGCAGGGCCTGTGCAGAGCCATTCTGTTGGAGGAACTGAGGCTCAAACACAGAACAGAGCCTTGCTGCCCCCAGGGCACCTCCCTTCTGGATCTCACCTGTTTCTTGAGCTTTTTCTTCTCCTTCTTGCTGAGGTGAGCATAAGGGTCATCCTCCTTCTTCTCCCCCTCTTCCTCCTCCTCCTCCTCTTCCGAATGCTGCACAGCCAAGGAAAAGCTAGTTGTCATCATCACCTTCCACCAAGAACCAAGGACAGAAACCAGGAGCCCTGACTCTCAAACCTGCTTTGGTCTTACTCTAGACCCAACTCCCTTCCCAGTCAGCGGTAGAACTAGGACCATGGGCTCCCAATTCCAGGAAAATGACAGGTTAAAATCCCAATTCAGCCCCACAGGTGGGGGACAGAGGGGAGTTGGATGTCAAAAGCTGTTGAGGTCTCAGCCTCATTGTGCCAGTGCCTGGATCCTGGAACATGGGCTGAGAACCCAACAATTTGCCTTTCATATACACCATCATATTAAGTGGCTTGAATGGAGCACACTCTCCCATCCATGCCTTGGGGAGAAGGGAAGTCTTACAGGCTGGCTGCCTCGCTTGGACTTCCCCTTGTCCTTTTTCGGCTCCTCATCATCATCCTCCATTTCCTCCTCTTCCTCCTCATCTTCAAGAGCAGCAAATTTATTCTGGGACAAGAGAAGTCAGATCAGATGAAAGTGATTCTTCTGGCAACAGGCAGGCATTCCCCAACACATGCTGAGATGCATCAACCTCAGGGGTGGGCCAACCAGGTTACAAATTGCACCGTGATGCCACACAGCAGGTTAGATTGGGAAGCGTAGGGAAGCTGCACATGGAAAATCCTGCAGCTAATAGGTGCTGCCAAAGGGGGACAGCTGGAGACACCCTCTTGCCTCTCCCAAGCTGGGGTTTGCCCAGGACACCACGGTTAATACATCAAGTTTTGTGAATGACACCAAAGACTTCCCTTCCCTGGCCTCCCAATACGCCATGATGGGGAGAGTACCTCCCAATACTGACCATAAGGGGAGAGTACCCACAGCTGAGTGCCCTTTGCCAACAGGAGCCCCACATCAACCCTCACCTGGACTGGCTGGTTCTTCTTCCCTTTCAGCTTCTTTGCAGTGTTGCTCACCTCTGTCTGTTTAGTTACCATCTGGAAAGGAGAAGATAGAAGAGCATAAAGTGTGTGAGGGCCCAGCAGTCCCATCACCTCTCCTGCTTGAAAAGGTCAGTATATATCCCACTGAGCCACATCATCCTGCACTCCCTGCTCCCCTTCCTGCCATGCCAAATCTATCTTATGGGGCTGAATCCCCTGCAGAAACCAAACCAAGCCCCACAATGCGAGCAGCCTGTTGCATCACTTTGCCTAATGGAAGCAGAACCCACCAGGTCCCAACTCTCAGTCCCTGGAGAGCAGCAGAGTGAATTTGCACATCACTCCTGACCTGCAGGGACCTCCCTGTGAGGGGCAGAATGGAGTCAGACTCAGAGACCTCTTCAGCCATCAGACACCTGCTGAAATTGCTAGGTCCTGAGAAACAGAGAGCAGACTCTCCAGCTCATCTCACATGTGGACTGTCAAAATATAGGGTTTAAATAGAGCCCAAACCCCCTCACCCCAGGCGCGCACACAGCCACACCCCAGGGAGTAAGTTCTTACAGGCTGACTGCCTTGCTTGGGCTTCTCCTCATATTCTGCCATCTCCTCCTCTTCCTCGTCATCTTCGAGAGCAGCAAATTTATTCTGGGGCAGAAAAGGCAGCAGCTCAGATAAGTTTAATTCCTTCTGCAATGAGCAGGGATATCTTGTTGATCACTGAGATGCAGCTATCTGGGTGAGGTAGCAGACTCTGTGATGCCATGGCAGGCTGGGCTGGGTGGGAAGCACCGGGAAATCTGACTTCAGGCCAATATCACAAAGCAGGGGCAGTAGGGGAGGGAGCATAGGGCTAGGGTTTGGCCAAGACACTGGGGATCCCATGCCCAGTTCTGGGAACCATGCCAAAGACTTCATCTCTATGTCTCCCTCGATGAATACATGAGAAAGAGACGCCCCCAGCTCCACAATGCACCAGGATGGGTT